AACCATATTTTTAGTGATACGGAATTGTGCATTTTTCCGTATCCTATTATGATACGTTATTTCTAAGGAAAAAAAATCGTATAAAAACTTTATAAAAAACGTATCCAATTTTTTTATAGGGAATATTTATTTAAAGCTATATCAGATATATTTTTCCTTTTTATTAAATAATGTTCATTTTCATCCGTCGGAACAAAATAAATTTGTATATTTCACAATTTTCATGCTTGAAACTGTAAATTGAATTCTTGCTATATGAAAATTCAAATAATAATAATAATAGAAATTCTATCACATTTATATATTATTGGATGATTAATACAAATAATGGTCTAGTAGCATTGATGCTTTTTCCTTTTTTTATTTCCCCCTTAAATAACTGGAAGTTTTACTTTTAAGTTCGATAACCATAATGGAATTCGTAGTGCCGCTATTAGACTATTATTTGTTTTAATCAACCATTAATAATATTATTGGATTGATATATGCATATGAAAATTAATGAACGAACAGATGTAATTATAATAATATCCGATACATATTCTAAGTTAATCACATTTAATATTACTAATGATAAAATACAATGATCCTACCACAAAGGACTTCCTAAAAAATGCACTATGCTAGAGATTGCGCGTAGCACTATAACCAACTGATCTTATCGCAGGACCACAAATACCTACTAGTTCACCAACCTATGTCACTGTTTCAACCCACGCATAAATTTATACCGCTTCTCTACCTACAACTACTACAAAAACTAGGGTAAAGGGTGAGATTAGGATAGAGATCGGGGTAAGGATCAGGGTAAGCCGGTAGGGGATAAAACAGTACAGTAAATTTTGCGTGAATGTGTGCATATTTAGTTATAAACTTTATAAAATTTATGAATGATAAAAACTTGAATTGAAACATTTTGCAAAATTAAGTTAGATTCCGTGCCCTTTAACATCATAATTTCATATTACAATCATTCTTTATCAAATAAAATGACATGAATGTAAATAAAAGTTCAATTGATAATATTAAATTGAGAATTTATTATATTTTATCTTACAAGAAATACATTAATAAATATTAATAAAAATATAAATACTATATTTTAATATATAAAGTTTGATAAAAAGATTTTTTTAAAAAAAATTACATTCGTTTAATACATAAACTAATAAAAATGTTCGTTTATAAGGATAAATTTGTGGTCAAATCTCAAGAAAATCATATGAACTGTCTTCAATTGCTTTATGTTGAAGTCTGTTCAAATTATATGATGCTTCTTTATTTCCATTTTCATGTGCTCTTTTATACCAATAAAAAGCTTTATCTAAATTCTTACTAGTTCCTTCACCTTTTTCATATAAAGATCCAAGATTATTTTGAGCTCCAGGATTTCCTTTTTCAGCAGTATTAACGAATAATTTAAATGCCTCTTCCTTATTAATATCAGTACCAATTCCTTTATCAAAACAATTTCCAAGTCGAAACATACCATTTATATTTCCTAGATCAGCTGATTTCTTATAATGCTCAAAAGCTTTAAATTCATCTTGTTCAGTACCTATTTTGTATTCGTAACATCTTCCTAAATTATACAATGCTATTTCATTTTCTTTTGCTTTTTCATACCAAGAGAAAGCCATTCTACAATCTTTTTCAGTCCAATAACCTAATTCATATAATGCTCCAAGTTTAATTTGCGCTAATGTGTATCCTGCCTCGGCCGCGTCTTTATACAATTTAAACGCCTTTTCTTCGCTAATATCAGTACCAATTCCTCTATAATAGCAATTAGCAAGTTGATATTTTCCATCTATATATTTCTGTTCAGCTGATTTCTTATAATATTCAAAAGCTTTAACTTCATCTTTTTCAACACCTCTTCCTTGTTCATAACATATACCTAAGTTGTATTGCGCTATCACATTTCCATTATCTGCTGCTTTTTCATACCAGTGAATTGCATTTTTTAGACACTTTTTGGTTCCTTCACCTATTTCATATAAATGTCCAAGATTATTTTGTGCTTCAATACTTCCTTTTTTAGCAGCAATTTTATATAACATAAAAGCTATTGCTTTATCAACTTTAGTTCCAACTCCCTCATTATAACAATGAGCAAGTCGAAATATTCCATTTATATAACCTTGTCCGGCTGATTTTTCAAAGAATTCAAAGGCTCGTTTTTCGTCTTTTTCTGCGCCACCTATGCCATCTCTATAACAACAACCTACATTATGTTGTGCAATTTTATTTCCACTTCTCGCAGCTTTTTCGAGGTAAAAAATTGCACTTTTTCTAGAACTTATTCTTATTAATATTTGTCCAACATAAAATGTACAATGTTGATTAAATTTTCTGGTTAATAATGCCTTAAAGACCTTAACTTCTTTCTTCCCGAAAATATTTCTTGTTCTCCCTTTTTTTGCTGATTCTTTATTCAAATGAGTTGATTTCTCGTTATTTCTAATTCCAACACAGTATTTTAAATAAAATTGACCAATAAAATTTTTATTTTCTTTATTTTCCACGGATCTTTTATAACATTCAAACGCGAAATATTCATTCTTCTTCGTTCCATATCCTTCAATATAACAATTAGCGAGATAAACTTGAGCTATTGGAAAGTTACTTTTTGATGCTTTTAAAAATAATTTAAATGCTTTAAATTCATCGTCTTCTGTAACAACATTTAAAATATTATAATAATAAAATAATCCTAAAAGCCAAATATATTTTGCTTCGTTTTGATTATCCATAAGCCAATCAACGAAATTTTCTGCATTTTGATTTAATTGAAATATTTGTTTGTGAATAATTTGTTGAATTTTATCATCAATAACATGTCCTTCATTATGTTTTTCTATTATAATTTCAATTAATCTATCAACGGTTACAGAATCCAATAGATTTGTTGATTCTTGATATGAAACTCTTGATGAATTACTTATAGAAGCAGTAATGTTTTTAAAACTCATCATATTTAGCACTTCATCATCTATATCATCTATATATAGATAATTATCTAAGGTTAAATAATTTTCACTAGGGTTGTTCATTGTTAATACATTCTCTTCATAAGCTAATTCAACGTTATCGACTTGCGTTTGAGTTTCACTTTTAAAAGCGATATCTTGAAGTATTGAAACAACATTTTGTATATCCGGTCGTTCATCTGGTTCATATTTCCAACAACCTAATTAATAATAATAATTTAGTACTCTATATATTTTAAGACGAAAAAATTATTCAGTAAATATTACTATAAAATATAACTTACGTTCACATAAATCACTATAAACAGTAGGTGTTCCTTCAATGATTTCTTCCCTTTTTCCTCCTTTTATTTGAAACATTAAGCCCGCGTCATATTCTTCAGTATGGAATGGTTGTCGTCCGCTTGAAATTTGCCACATAATAATCCCAATACTATACACATCAGATTTTTTATTTAGTCTGTAATTTTTATCGTCAAAACTTTTCGGATCTACATAAGGTACTATACCATATACACTTGATGTACTACTACTTGATGCTTCGACAATTTTTTTTGATTGACCAAAATCCGCCAACTTAATTTTGTTCTGATGCACAAGTATATTTGCTGAGTGCTTTTAAAATTACATATAAAATTTGATTAATTCATTTATTCTTAAAGTTATGAAAAAAAAATATATTAAATAATTTATAATTACCAAATCACAATGAATAATATCGTGATTATGTAAGCAAGATATAGCACTTGCTATCTGAAACGCTAAGTCAAATCTATCATCCCATTTAAGTTCTTTAATATGATTTTGTAAATAATTTTGCAATGTACCACCGTCAGCATATTCCAGTACTAATGAACAATTTCCTAATATTGGATCTGAAACAAGATAAATAATATATATAAACATATTATAAGTTGGATTCAATTATGTATTTTATCGTTAAATTCTTACCTTTTGTGATACCATATAATCTTATAATATTAGGATGATAGTTAACTTCTCTTAGCAATCGTATCTGTAAAAATATATGTTTATATAAATTAAATGATTTTATTAATTGGTTCCATAATACCAGATACTTTTAATACATACTTTACCTCATTAACAACTTTTTCAAGAGTTATTTTATCATAATTAACATAATTAAAACATTTCAAAACAAATTTAGTATCCTTAATATCTTTTAATGTAGCAATTTTAATTCGTGCGGAAGAGCCGGTATCAATTTTTTCTAAAACTGTAAAGTCCGAATAATCGAAACGATCGTAATATTTATCTAACCAACCACTATAATCATTCGTGTCATTATCATTTGACATTGTAAGAATTTCTCCGTTTTTTTTTTGAAAAAAAAAAAGAAAATTTAGTCTTCGTTCAAATATAAATAAAAAAAAAAATTTTTTCTGCAAAATCGGACAAAAATTCCGAATTCACGTGACATTTCATTGTTTGATCAACCGGTTAAACGGGTTTATTCCCAAATTAAGAATCTTTTGAATGTCATGCTGCATTATTGAAATTTCCAATCGATTTATCCGTGTTTCGATGGAAGATTCTAAAATTGATTTTTGTTTAAAGTTACGATGCGCAGAATGAGGGCTAAAAATTTTTCTGTGGGCGTCACCAAATTTAGTGATTTGAATAAAGTAAAAAAATAAATAAGTTTGCATGCTTTTAATTTTATAAAAAAATTTTTTTCGTGTAATGATGATATGTAGATAAAAACTGACATTTTTTAAGAAAATTGTTTTTCGTATTTCTTAAATAATCTTATCTAAAAGTTAAAATATTTATATAGAAATTATCCTTTTTTTTTAGGAAATCGTTCGGATTTCAACAGTAACGCCACAAAAATTTTTCGGATGATATTCCTAAACAAATAATTATTATTATTATTATTATTTTTATTTAGTAAAAAATTATCCATAATATTTTTTTTTAAAAAAAAAAAATTACCGTAATTAAAACTATGTTAATAAAACTGATGACATATAATAAAATTATTATTCGTAACCCGCACAACATCAATTTTTTCGAAAATTGAAAAAAAATTTTAATATGAAATCACATGATCTTAATGTAAAAAAAAAATTTTTAAATTTTTTGTGAAATTTATATAAATATAAAAATAAAAGCCAGTTTATTTTTAAATTTTTAATATGTTTAGTACAATCGAAAATTAATATTTTTTAAATTTTATAAATTTTATGTATTTCTAATTAGAATTTCCAACGTAAATAACGTAAATTAATGAAAGATTTATTGATAATATTAAGTAAATATAGTACATACTGTATATATTGGGAAATAGAATAAAGAAAAAATGAATTAAGAAGGCCAATAGGATTTCTTCCTTTCTGTGACCCCGTAATTTGTAAGCAGTCGTCATCATAAGAATGGTCATGTGACCGCTGATTATACGTTGCGTCGTTGCGGTGAACTTGGTAGAATTTTAACAACTTTCTTTTAGAATTTTTGGAAAAAAGGAATTTTCTTTCCTGAATTGATATCAAAAAGACCGTTATGAAAATACCTAATTTGAATAACCTAACTTAACTTATTGCAAAATCAGTAGTTTAAATTTTATTGAAATTGGTCGATTAAGCACTTCATATTTATCATTTACGCACGACACCAGAATACGACATATTTCGAAATAGTATAATTGTAGTAATATTTGATAATATAGTAATATAGTAGAATTATTGAAACGGTTTTACCAGATATATAAGGAAAATATTTCACACGAATTTACGTGGAATTTACATGGAATTTAACAATAAAGTGTCGAAAAATTAAATCCCTTTAATTTAATATACTGATTTTAAACTTATACAAGTATCATATAAAATATATATATACCGTGCGAAATCAAATTACATATATAACCCCATATGAGAGATAACAAATCAATTAAATCTCGAGGTTGCGCTCTTAGGAGAGTGTGATTAATTACGATATAATTACTATATACTTTTAAATATTTTTCTATAAGCGGAAGGAGTTATCTAACATTTTCAGTAAGGAAAAACTTCAGTTGTTTCTTTTGTCTTGGCTTGGTCAATTTCGAATTCAACTACACTAAACTAGATATCTTTCGTCCGTTAATAGTCGATTGATAAATTAGAAACTAAAAGCATTATTTTATATTAATTAGAAATTATTTATAAAAAAGTGTGTTATTATCAAAGTGAGGTCTTTAAATAATATTAGAATAATTGAAGGCTCGATTAATTTGAATAGATAGTCGAAACAAAAACAATTCTCAAAGATCTTCCTTACAAAATAAAATTCTCTATTATATAATAACGATAAATAAAAAATTCAAAATTTTTTTCTTTTTTTACTTTTTTTTTTTCTAAAGTTCTTTTCCTCTATGCGGTGAATGGACGTTTTCTAATTTGTATTGCAAGGTTTAATACGATAGTAATTACCAAAATAAGCCCAATATGTCTTTAACTTCTTATCTATTATGGAGATGTCCGTTAAAGATTTCTTATATTCCAGATTGCTTCGAAACCGTACCCAGATTAGTTAAAAAAAATAAACTCCGACTGTGTAACAGTACTATGTATCAAATCGAGTAGAAGGCTTAGAACACACTTATAACTCGCATTTGGAATAAGCAATAATTTGGCCAATTAAAAAAAAGTACCGAGTCAATTCATTACACATTTTCTGTTGATTGCAAATCTTTCATAACAAATTAATTTTTTGTACAATCTAGAATGTGATCCTCGATGTACAATAGTCTGGAAGGGTGGAAACCTGTTTATCGGAATTTCCATCCGACCGATAAAATTGTTATAAATCAAATCAATTTTTTTTTTTTTTTAAAAAAAATAAATCATAAAATTAATTATCAACTTTTTATATATGTAATTTAAAGCACGCGGCAAATATACTTATGCATCAAAAAAATATTAAGCTTGCAGATTTTGGTTTATCAAAAAAAATTGCCGAAGCGTCAAATAGTACATCAAGCCTACATGGTGTAGTACCTTATGTAGATCCGAAAAGTTTTGCCGATAAAAATCACAAACTAGATAAAAAGTCTGATATATATAGTATTGGAGTTATTATGTGGCAAATTTCAAGTGGATATCAACCATTTCATTACGAAGACAATTATGAATTAGCTCTTGATATACAATTAGGAAAAAGAGAAGAAATTATTCATGGTACTCCTACTGAATACAGTGATTTATATACAAGTAAGTAGTTTCGTAATCATGTTTAAAAGATCATAGATCCTAGAAAACGGAAATCGTTGTAGCGAATAAGATAAATCTATCGATGATGTCACGTGAGAGGATAGAGTCATTCACGTGATCGATCGCAGTACCTTCGCTCCGCTCCGGATAATAATGAATATAACGTTAATTCTCATTACTCTTATTCTACACAATTCTTTAGAATGTTGGAAATATGAACCGAGTGAACGTCCAAATATATTAGAAGTTGTTTCAATTCTTGAATCAATTATTTCGGAAAGAAAGTATGTAATTGATAATAATATTTATAAAGAAAAGGAAAGGTACTCACAATCATATTTGATAAATCCGTTATTAAATACTTACACTTATATGGATAGTTCTAATTCAACAGTGAGCAGAGAATCTATGGGTTTAAATGATGATTTGGTAATAGATAACATACCAAGTATAGTTTTATCAAATAGTAACTTAAGTTCACAGACTTATGAAACTGTTACAACCGATTCCGAAAATATTACAAATTCCTCATCAGATTCAAAACATCTATTGGATTCTATGAACCATGTAATTGTTGATAAATTAATTAAAATTTTAATTAAGAAACATAATCAAGGCGTCACTTTTGATCAAATTCAACAACTCATTAATCAACAAATATTAAATCAAAATATAGACAAACTTATTAATTGGTTATTAAAAAATCAAGGTTATGCACAACATAAGTGGGTTTTGGGATTGTTTTATTATTATAATATTAATACTAAAGAAAGCAGCAATAAAGCTTTTCAATTATTTTCAGAAGCATCAAAAGATAACTATTCATTGGCTCAAGTTTATCTTGCTAATTGTTATAATGAAGGATATGGAACAGAGAAAAATCAATATTTAGCATTTGAATGGTATAAAAAATCTGTGGAAAATAAAAGTATAATTGGGCAGTTTTATTTAGGTTATTGTTATGAAAATGGTATTGGAATTGAAAAAAATGAAAAACGTGCAGTTTGTTGGTATAAAAAAGCAAATAATAATGATAATACAACCGCAAAACTTTATCTTGCAAACTGTTACAGATTAGGAAAAGGTGTTAAAAAGGATGAAATCAAAGCATTTAAATATTATAAAATATTAGCTAAGCGTTATGAAATTGCTGATGCTCAATATCAATTAGGAAACTGTTTTAATGATGGAATTGGAACGAAAATAGATAAGGATCTAGCTATTTATTGGTATAAAAAAGCAACAAAAAGTGGAAGTATTATCGCAAAAGATATTCTTAAAGATAACGAGATTAATTCTCATAAAATATTAATTACAAAAAGGTTGAGTCAATTTGGTTTATATTATATTGGAAAATTATTAATAAGAATAAGATATGACAAAGCATTTCATTATTTTGAAAGAGCAGCAGAAATTGGAAATAAAGTTGCGTTACATAATTTAGGTTGTTGTTATAGAGATGGTATTGGTGTAGAAAAAAATGAAAGAAGAGCTTTTGAATTATTTAAGAAATCAGCTGGACAAGGTTATATAGATGGGATATTTCGATTGGGATATTGTTATGATAAAGGAGTTGGGACTAGTATTGATAAAGTAAAAGCTTTTGAATTATATGAACGTGCCGCTAAGAAAGGAAACCTTGGAGCTCAAAATAACCTTGGACATTTATATGAAAAAGGTGAAGGAATCGAAAAGAACTTTAAAGAAGCAATTCGTTGGTATGAAAAAGCGGCCGATAATGGAAATAGGTTATCACAGTATAACTTAGGTGTATGTTATGAAAATAAAATAGGTGTTGAGAAAAGTGATGATAAAGCATTCGAATATTATAAAAAATCAGCTAAATATAGACGTCCATATACATTAAATATATTTTATGGAAATGGAATGAATGTTGAAAATGATATTATTAAAGCTTTTGAATCTTATAAAAAAGCATCTAAACAAAAGTATATAGAAGCACAATATAAAGTAGCATATTTTTATGATAAAGGAATTGGAACCAAGTCTAATAAAAAAGAGGCGTATGAATTATATAAAAAGATGGCAAAAAAAGGAAATAAATTTGCACAAATTAAACTTGGAACTTTTTATGAAAAAGAAAAGAAATTTGAAGAAGCTTTCTATTGGTATAATGAAGCGAAAGAAAACGAAATAGCATTATTTAATTTAGGAAGATGTTATGAATATGGAATAGGTATTGAAAAAAATGAAAATAAAGCATTTGAATGTTACGAGAAATCAGCTGATCAAGGATATACAGATGGAAAATTCCGGCTTGGTAATTTTTATAATGAAGGTATTGGTACTGAAATTAATAAAGTAAAGGCATTTGAATTATATGAGGAGGCAGCAGAAAATGGAAATAAATTGGCGCAAAACGCTCTTGGTTTCTTTTATGAAAAAGGTTATGGGACTGAAAAAAATGTGGAAACGGCATTCTTTTGGTATAAAAAAGCAGCAGTTAATGGAAATGAAATAGCACAATATAATTTAGGTATATGTTATGAAAACGGAATAGGTGTTGAAAAAGATGAAAATAAAGCCTTTAAATGTTATAAGAAATCGGCCGAACAGGAATACTTAAATGCGAAATATAAAGTTGCCGAGTGTTATTACAAAGGAATTGGTACTAAAATTAATAAAGAAGCAGCATTGAAATTATATAAAGAGACAGCTGGAAAAGGAAATAAGTCTGCACAAAACAGTCTTGGATTATTATATGAAAATGAGAATAAAATTGAAAAGAACGGAGAAATGGCCTTTTTTTGGTATAACGAAGCAGCAAATAATGGAAACGAAATAGCAATATATAATTTAGGCAGATGTTATGAATATGGAATGGGCGTTAAAAAGGATGAAGTTAAGGCTTTTGAGTATTATAAGAAATCAAATGAACAAGGATATCTAAATGCAAAATATAAGGTTGCTGAATGTTATAATAAAAAAATTGGTACTGATACCGATAAAAAAGAAGCGTTGAAATTATATAAAGAAGCAGCTGCAAAAGGAAATAAGTTTGCACAAAATAGTCTTGGATTTTTATATGAAAATGGGGAAGAAATTGAAAAGAATGATGAAATGGCATTTTTTTGGTATGAAAAAGCAGCAAATAATGGAAGTGAAGTAGCATTATATAATTTAGGAAGATGTTACGAACATGGAATAGGTGTTAAAAGGGATGAAGCTAAAGCTTTTAAATTCTATAAAAAGTCAGCTGAATATGGGTATTCAAACGCACGGCATAAAGTTGTATACTATAAAAATAAAGGAATTGAGTTACACGGGAAAAAAGTTGGTAAAGAATATGAATATTTAAGTTAAATAATAAATATAATAGCTTGTATTTTTTTTCATCTTCTTTTGAAATCCACATTGAATGTAGTATATATATTTAATAAATAAAAAAAATGTTAAATTCTCTATTATAATAAGTCTTTTCTTCAATGGTTTAATATATAACCCTCTTATCAATGAACAGAATTCCCTATTATATTAAAGAAAATTTCTAAGTTTACACGGGGTGTTTGTACACGGGTCATATAAATATAATTTTTAATAGAATAATTTTTTGTTTTTTAATTTGAAATTGAATGCTACCGACATTATACTCTTTTACTTTTTATTCTTATTATATTACAGATAAATATATGTATTTTCACCTGCTCTGCAAGTTTACTTAAGGCATTAAAGGAGGGTTTGAATGCCGTTTTTAATCTACTAATATGACCCGTGTTTAAACACCCCGTGTACAAATAGAAATTGCCTATATTAAAATTATGTAATTAAGTTGTGTAACAATTAAGGTGCCACACTTTTGATTTATTTTGTTAGGAATTTACTTTGCTAGATACTTTTTTAAAATTTTTAATTATTTTTAAATTAAGAAAAATTTGATCGGCAAATGATATAAAGCATGTCCGCTATAGCGAAACGGAAGACTACGAAAATACGAAAATGTAAAATTTGTTTATCCCATGCAAAATGTCCACATTTCGACATTTCGTGTTATTTGCTTTTTTGAACCCCTGAAATATTCTTATATAACACATATATACTGCGGCCTACAGTTGCGACCGGTTTCCATTTTCTAGTTTTTATTTAAATCAAAGAAAAACATATATATTCCTTCTAGTTTAATAATTTCTTCTATTATGTACAATTTTTTTTAAAGAAAAATATATAAAAGAAGAAAATAATAAAATCTTAAACCACAATAACAATTAATTATGTTTTTATTTTTATTTTTATTTTACCAGTAATTAGTTAGTGCACATATAATTATAAGAAATAACAAAATAAACTAAACTGAAAGAAGAGACAATAAATCTACTTCAATGGTGAGGTGATTACAAACGAAACTATTTAAAATCTTCCTACAAAAAAAATTAAAAAACTCCTATAAATGATCATTTTTTAGTTTTCATTCTGAAGAAACTCAGACACGTGATCATTTTTCTGAAAAATTTTTATAGGGTCTAACAAACTAAACATTTCGATAATTAACCCACTACCTCCCATTATCCAATAATAACAATATAACAATTAATTATATTATGTATAAATTAAAGAAACCGGACGGAATTTCCTTTTTGTGAAATTTTGTGCAACATAGCTATTTCAATTCGACATATCTATATCATCACGAATTTGCCGATCATTTATTGACATTGTCACATAAGAAAAGGTGGCTATTTTTATATAGATCCGATTATTGTCCATCAAAATAAAAAAAAGAGGGACATCCCCTGTTGCTGAAAAGCGACGTGAGACGATATTTCCTTTTTGGAAATTAATGTAACCGATTTGATTAAACATAACCGACGAGTGGGAGAAAAGCTACACAATTACACAATTCAAAAGAGTCTTAACGTGACACCACATGACTGCAATGATTTCAAATAATATAGATAAAGATAATACAACAATATAGTATTTTAGGACAATACTCATACTGAATTTTAAAAAAATATTGTTAACACAGAAACATGGTGAAAATATTGTCTGTATGAAATTCTTTTGTATGATGTGATGTTTCAGCTCCTAAAAAGTGCAAATAAAAATTTAACGTATTGTAGATCAATTACAATTGTTTTCCAAACACGGAGACATGCGTAATGCACACAATATTAAAAATTTTTCAATCCAAAAGTATGAAAAAGTATAAATTAGCAAAAAATTTTCTTAAGAAGACAAAAAATTAAAATTCAATCAATTAAAATTCAATCAAAAAAAAAAAAAAAAAATACTTTGATAGTTTTTTCGCATATTCAAACTCTTAAAATCAATTAAATTCTTTAAATTCCCTAACAAAATGAATCAGACTGAAGTTGTCATCAAACTATCCATTCCATCTATCGCAACTGCTGAAGCCACTGAAAAACCGGGCGATTCTGGTGGTTGTACAATTATGTAATAAAATAAAAAGTCTTACATATACGAACTTTTATCGTCAGATCTGATTGGATATTAAACATTTATGTATTGTTAAATAATCATTTGTCTATAGTTTATTTATTCGTAATAATATATTGTGCCTTATATATATATATATATCGTTAGTTTACTTGTGTTATTACTTATTATTATATTATCAAATTACTTAATAATTCTAGTCACCATTCATATTTTGTCTTATATTCTGTAATTAGGGACATGGTTTAAAACAATTTCAGTGTTTTAAAACATGTTTTAAAAAACACTTTGATATTATAAAAAATCAATTTTTATATAATAAAACGAAAAAAACTGTTTTAGAACATGTTGTTTTAAATTACGTGCCATACCTATCTGTATTTTATCGTTTGTGTATTCTAAAAATTACAAAAATAAATCACATCTTTAAATTCATTATTTAAAATGTTCTAAATTCTAATAATTTTGGTGAGTTTGAGGTTGCCTTAAAAGTTGTCTAAACCATATCTAATTTTCTAATAGTGTATACAGAAAATTTTCTATGCTGATCACGTAATAATCTTTTTGATGCAAAATACACAATATTTATTAGTAACGAAAAATTAATATTTTTGTTAGAAGATATAATTCCTGTAAAAGATTTATCTGCAATTTCTATATTTACGGAAAAATATAAAATCTATACATTTTGAGGCTATAAATCCTGTGAATGTAATACATTTACGGAAATAACAGAATAAAAAACACGGAATAAATTTATTATAGGGAATCCTATATTATTATTAAGATAAACACAAAGTTAATGATAATTAAAAACTCGATAAAATATATATTATAAGTGATCATCTAAACTCGAAAGTATAATTCTAATTAAAACTAATACTGTATGTTGATTGCTTCTAGTGAAAGGTTTCATTATGTAATATATCAACAGTAAAGAGTCCTTTTATTGAGCTGCGAAAAAAATAAAAGTTTATGGATGAAAAAAATTTATTGCTAGCTGCGAGTGAAACGTTAGGAAATGAGCCCGGCTGACGTTTGTTCTTTCTTGTTTAACGTATTTTTAAATATTTTACTTTTTCAGTTGAAACAGAACAATACTCAAAGGCAATACATAAAATATGAAAGACATCGAATTTTTTTATCACTTGAGAAATTTAACCGGAAAGTGACAAATTAATTGAATCATTGGTAATTGGTTCTATTATTTCCTTTGAATTGTCACATTTTCGTTTATTTTACTAGAATTAAAACCAACTTTGCTGTCAATATATGTTTTTTTGACAACCATATAACATCCATATAACAACCCTGTTATATTTATATTT